CTCCTAGCGTACTTCAAAAGCGCGGGTAGAGGAGTAGACAAAACAATTTTACACTGAGTAGCGGAGCGCACGACCTCTTGACAGCGATCAAAAAAAATGGTTCTCTCTTTGTCGCAAGCCCGTATTATGAGCGAATGACTGACATAAATTGCGTAACATTTTCACACCAATTACAGTAATCGACAAAAATATAAACCGTAACGTAGATAAAAATTAACTAAGCATAGACAATAGGCGGTTAAGCAATAATCTAAAGTACAAAGAGAATAAATAGCGTTTCAAAACTAACAGCACGAACTTTAAACTTGAAGCAATTAAGGCACACGCAAGGTCTGACAGTCATAAACAAAATCAGATGCGATTGATGCGACAAGAAAGCCTAAAGCTACCGTAGCACATAAGATGCTAAAGAAGCTAAATCAGAAAGCCAACGAGCAAATGAAAATATTGTTTGGATCAGCCCATGCCTTTGCGAAACACGGTCGCCCGTTTAGTGATTCTCAGTGGCTGTGTTCTTTAGATGAGGCTAAAGGCTTGAAAGTAGGAACTGCGTACCGGAATAAGAAAAGGTGTAAAGATTCTGTGAAGGTAATTGCTACAAATTAACGCAATATTACACTGACTGGAGAAGCAGACTTACAGATGACAGTGTTTCAGATCTGATGACCATCAAGCTCGATTCTCCAGACGTCAAGGATTTTGACCCCCAACCCGCAACTGACGTTCGGTTGCAGAAGAGAATGCCCTACTTCAGCGACAATAGGTCTAAATTGAGAAGGGAAGAAGATGTTGGGCCTGCAGAAATTCCTGGAGATTATGATGCAAATGTAGGTCTTGAAGCACAGCAGGAAGTACGGGCTGCTGTCCCTGGTCCATCTGATGATGCCAAAGATGATGATAATGGCGATCTGTCAAACTATTATTCTGATGATGAACTGGTCAGTGACGACAAGTTGAAAGATCAAGAAAACGAGACCTACGAGATGCTGACATCAATGTTTTAATAATTTGTGTTGACCTAACAGTAGCAACTAATTGTAAACGAGAACTATGACCTAACCGCCTCCCGGTTAGCTCACCGCCCCCCGGTAAGCTCATTGCCTCCCGGTTAGCTCAATTGGTTAGAGCGCCGGATTGTGTTGTGCGGGAGTTCGAGGGTTCGACCCCCCGGCCGGACAAATACTCACGGTCTTGAAATAAGTGAGGAGAATTTGCTACTTTTCTATAATCAAGAAATGGATAGATATTCTAGTCTTCTCAGAGTAGGACGAATAAACCGTTGGCCCCAGTCTCCTGCAGGGTAAGGGGTAGGACACGTTAATTTCCCACGCACGAGATTACTGTGTGGTGGATGTCCTCCCCTGGGTGGGATCGGTGTTGGCCCTGAAAAGCCCCTATGGGGAGTGGTCAATTAAGCTATGTATGTATGTATGTATAAGCTCTATTAAAGACACAGTCAAGTGAATGTGAAATCAAATTTACTTATCTTTTTCCTTACATAACACATAATGTTACCACAATGAAAGAAAAAACACCAGTCTTTATCATTTTAAAAGACCTTGCCAATAAGTTTAGAGGAAGGTTTACGTGTTAGGTGTCAAACCCTGTATCCATCAATTGTATATATACTATCATGATTTGAACGAGTGAATCTTGTTTCTGAAAAGATACATCAGTGCTTGAGTGGTTGAGATCTTTACGTGTATCATGTCTGTGTAATGACCTTGCATTAAGGTAACATTTTTAAAGGAATTGAACTTGCAATATAAAGAGGTGATAGTGATGGATTAAGGTGACAAGAATTTCGTAACTGTTTTACTTCTGTTTTTACATCAGGACTGACAGCTATTTTATTTTCACAGAGCTTAGTTATGTATAATCCCTCTATTGTTGTCACTCTACTGAGACCCACATAATGTACGTGAGGTAAAAGTTAACCACAATTTTACTCTCTGTGTCACCTTGTCAGGCGCGTAGCGTGGTAATTTTTTCAAGTACGCACAAGTACATATGATCTAGAAATCTAAGTAAACTGAGCGAATAATACTGCGTTCTTTATTTCTTATTCAAAATAGTTGTGCGAATACAAGCAAAGAACAAAGCGTCTTGCCCTCATTTTGAGCAAACTTGGCGCAAACACATTGGTTTCAAAATTTTCTGGTCACTTTAAGTACGCACGTGCGTATATGCGTATAGGATGGCACTTAATTTGAACAAAACTAAGGCTCTTCTCTTGACTACATCTCAGAAATATGCCCATTTATCTGAACCTCTTTTTGATATTGTTGTCAATGGTAACCTTATTGAGCAAGTCCCGCATGCTAAATTGCTTGGCCACATTAGGGAAAAGCTGCTTGAACGAAGGAGGACTGTAATACTCAATAGTTTCTCTGTTTGGCATCCTTATCAAATGTCCATGTTGGGATCGAATCAGTTTCATCCACTTACGGGTAACATTTGAAACAGCTCCAATGGCAATGCCAAACCTATGTGATAAATCCTTTCCAAATAGACCTAGCCTAAGTCTCATAATGGTCATCACAAATAGCCCATTTCCGAATTACCCTTGGCCTCACTTTCAAAACGAGTCCTGGTGCTCATCCTTTCATATAATAATAAGTTTTCATTCATATGAAAATTAAATTCATTTTCACAAGAATGGTTGAGCACCAGGCCTCGTTTTTAAAATGAGGCCAAAGGGAATTCGGAAATGGGCTATTCTTGAAATGCAGTTAATGATCTTGGCCTTCCAATCTTGGTAACTGGTTCAGGATTTCCAGTACTCTCATCACAGACATTTGAGCTTTCTTCTACCAAACTGAAGCAAAAAGTAAGCAATTTATAGTTGGAACTCCAGTATAAAACTCAATGTCTGAGTCTTTTGACTTGTATTTCTCGATGTCGAATCTAGTTTCTTTCTGTTTTTCCTTTGTTAACTCGCTTTTAACACAGTTCAGTTCGCTCCTTAATTTCTGCAGTTCACTCTTAAATAATTGATTCTGTTTTTCGACTAGATTGATTTTCTCTTTGAGTTCTTCGTTTCCGTCTTTAAGCAAACAGACCCACAGAAAATCTGTCTGAGTTGAAACTTCAGCCACAGTTTGGAATTAAGTGTTTCAGTAGGTTCGACCTCCATGCAGACCACAGGTTCAGGTTCACTTGACACCTTTCTCTTCTTTGAATGTTTCTCTATTTCTTCCTGGCTAGCTTTAACAATTTTTCTCCTTTCCTCTTTTTGTTTGCTCCATGGAAATAAAGATGGCAAGCGAGATCTACTTAATTTTTTACCGTTTTCCCAGTGATCGGCGCATATTCTTGTGCTTGGTGAGTCAATCTTGAGTGTTGCATTTCGAAGGATAATATCGTATGTTTTTCGTAACTCTGTGTCTTTCGGTATGCAATAAAACTTGAATCCTGAAGGCTTATCTCTATGACTATTAGTACATCCAGGAACACAGCAGTTATACTTCGGCATTTTCGCTTTCCAAGTCAATACATTTGGTCGATTTAGGGTTGTTTATAGTGATTTTAGAAAGCTGTCCCGAGTAACAGTCCCAGAAGCCTTTGCGAAGCAAAACTCGAACCATTCTCCAACTCGTTTTTGAGATGGGGAATTGATTCCTTTCTTTCCTGGGAAAGCCACATCAGCAATATGTGCTCTCTCATTAGGAGCAGACTTTCTCTTCTGAAACGTATCAAACCATTTCTTACTCATAAGTGCTCATTGAATTACTAAACTCTTGTATCCACTCTTCTTTGTTGTATTGTTCCACTGTTTGGAGTTCTTGCTCCAAAACTCTTCTTCTCTGCCTAATTCGTCTTCAAAAACAATCAGCTCGCCTTATCCTTGACGCCGATTGGCATCAGTAATCAGTCAGTCTCTTTGCCAAACTCAAATGGCTCCCCATTTTTCTCTAAGTTAACCTTAGAAAGCTTGTCCTCCTCTTTAATATTCCTAATAATCCTGAAGCACCAAGCTGTCTCAAACAATCTTTCCATTTCTTGTCTTCTAGACGACTAACTGGTGCTATTACTAGAGCTTGTCACCTTGACCTTCAACTTCCTTATCCCCGCTCAAACTGCGGTAAACGCACTTTCGCTTTCAGTGTAGCCTCGCTCTTTAATTGTCTTGACTCCGACCTTAAAGAACTTCTACGCTTCCCAAACCCCTGTACCTCTTTTTCGAATATTTTGTCTGCCTTCAAAGGTTAAGTTTTCTTTTTTTTCTAACCTATACCTCTCGTGCTTCTCACCTGGAAACTTTGTTTTGTCCCAATTGTCGCTACAAACTTCTTTGGAGTTGTACATCATAGTCTTTTGTATTTAGCTTTTCCAATAGTTAATCTTAATCAACAATGCTCCATGATACTCTGCAAGTTTGTTATATTTTCACTTATAGGTATATACATGTTCATTTATTATTTATACTTTGTCATTGTGTATTTTTTTCATAATTTATGTCAATGTTTCAGTAGTGCGAGGGCCTCATGTTAGATAACTCCTTGGATTAATGAGCGTCCCTCCTTAAATAAAGTTTATTGATTGATTGATTGATTGATTGATGGTGACCTGTGAATGATCTTAGTTGCAGCAGGCAGAAGTTAACACAATTTACGGAAAGTCCCTCTCTTATCATAAACAAAAACGCAATCGAACAAGTAACCTTCGCTAAATCCCTTGGAGTTTACGTCGAACAAAATATAAATTGGGAGTGTCATATTAAAAACATCTCTAAGAAGATAGCTTGTGCCATTGGTGCGATTAAACGAATTCGGCATCTCACTCCATTTAATGTTTTAATTAAAGTTTATGAAAGCCTTATCAACCACATTTTGATTATTGTAACATAGTGTGGGGAAACTGTAACAAAGGCCTTTCTGAAAAACTGCAAAGGCTGCAAAATCAGGCAGCTCACATCCTAATGTCAGCGAGCTATGATAGTAATTTGGATGATTTGTTCTGGTCGCTAAGGTGGCGAAGACTCTACTATCGAAGATTGGAACAGAAATCTATCCTAATGTATAAAACATTACATGGTATAACAGCTGATTATCTGAGATCAAGATTTGTATATCGTTTAAGGAATACCGAAAACAAATTAGTTCTTCCACAACCTCGAACTGACTATCTCAAGAGAAGTTTTTCGTACAGCGGAGCTCAATTGTGGAACAACTTACCTGTAGACCCAAGACAAGTGTCTTTGCTGACTGATTTCAAATCTAAATTAAATCGCCACAGTTTAAAGTAAGATCTTAAAGTAAGATCTTAATTCTAAGTAAATTTTTGACACGGCCTCCATGAAAAGCAGAATTTTTATTTATTTATTTTAATTGAATTGTTATTATCAAATTATTATCGTAGCTAGATAGATAGGTTTCTATTATAGAAGTAACTAAATCAACTGATGGAAAAACCGTGTATAAATAAATTATNCTGCCATACAGTTAATAATCAGTTATTGTAATTTCTTTGTTTAAATCATCAAAAATTAGTTGAATGTTATAAGTCAAGACATTTTAAATGTCACCTTTCAATAACATACGCAGCAACCTATATTAGACTTTGACAGATTTTTTGAATGATGTGAGTGTAGAAAAATTAGACTGACACCAGTTCATCCATCTGAAAGAACAGGGAAAGAAGAACCAAAAACTTGCTGTTCAGTAAACTGGTTATCTGTTTTCCTTTTTTCGTTGTGGTATAAGTCGCAGTGATTTCGAAAATAATATTCTTTCACTGGTAACACATAAAAGCGAGTTTCGTCAAGACATCCTAGAAATGAGGCTGACAAACTACTACGTGCGTGTGGCGAAAAAAATATTAGTTGGTTTTACAATTCTGTCTCTACACCTCTCAGAGCTGTTAAATTTTCCTCGATCCATTTCCTGTTTTCTTTGATCATGGCTTTTAATTAAAATCAATATATCTCAATGCTGTCGGAAAATTCGTGGTTCCCTGACATTGCTACCATTATG